ACTCAAAACAAACACAAAAGACACTCAAAACAAATAATAATAATAATAATAACTGTATTTGTATAGCACTTATCTACACAAAGTTACAAAGTGCTTCACAAGAAAAATATAAAATCCATGGCTAGAAGAAGAATAAATTATAATAAAAAGGTAATAAATTCTGTAAAATTCAGCCATTTGATCTCTGTAAGACTGGTTGTTGTAATGAAAATAATAACTTCAATTGTATGTTGGTGTCATCAAATGTTTCAGCCTATTAAGGTATGCACCCTACTGATTGCCATTCTAGTTATATATATAAATGATTCTTCAAATGCTTGAACAGAAGTCTCCCTTGTACATGTCCCTGTCTATTATCACCACAACAAATATTCAGGCAGATTTACATGATCACGTTTTTTTTTTTTAGCTTTTTCAGTGTGAACACTGCATGAACAAAAAACCAGCTCAGTTTGCATATGGTATGGATTTGGGACATAGCTAACAATGCAGGCGCGTTGTGTTTTCTGTTAGTGTGGGTGGAGAAGTTATCGATCTTAACTTGTTCACAAACTGTTTCCGTCTGTGTGACCTTTGAACTCCAGCACAAACTGGCGGGGCTAGAAAAACAAAACCTTTTCATTCTCACTCCAATTCCTGATGTCTGACATGAAGGAATTCGCTTGCTGTAGCTTTTCCTGCTGTCAATCTCCACGGTACAGTAGCTGCTGGAGATACATGGCATGACATTACAAGATCACTGTTGTTGCTTTTTGTTTTTGCCAGATGTGATTGAGAGAGTGAAAAAAAAAAAGAAACACCACCAAAGATCAACCTGGATCAATAAATGCAAAATATATCTGATGCCTACTGATGTTCATTTTAATCGACACACACGCACAGAGCCCTTCTTGACTCAAATACCAATTTGCTACTGTGATCAGAAAGTGCGCGCACACACACACACTCATGCACGCAAACAAACACACACACACACACACACTGAACAGTCCAATGACAGGAGCTTGTCAGGCTGACATCCTTTCCAATAAACATATAAAAAAGAGTTGGTCAGAGCAGGTGCTTGAACAGGTCTACCATCTACACATGCACAACGTGTTACTGGCATTAACGTAACTGGATAAATATATTTATGCAGTTTTCAGAGCATTACCACAATGTTATTCTGGCTGCCCCACCTACATGTGGTTTATCAAAAACAAGAAAAAGAATCAACGTTCAGAAGGTAATTTTTTCGATTCCTGTCTTTTCAGCGTACTGTAGGTTATCTTCTCTCTCTCCTCGCAGATAAGGCTTTCTGTACAACATGTTTTCCTGCAGAGCTACATCCAGAATGAACCAAACATCTACTCAAGTGCGGATGCATTAGAAAACAGTTGACATTGCATCTTTTTCTACAGTATATCTAAAAGGATAGGCACTTCGTCATAAAACATCGCAAAGAAGTCTGTAAGAAACATTAGACCTGAAACGATGGCAAACCGGAAGCAGTTCACATAAAACACACCTTTGTTGTTTTTTTCATGTCATACAAAAACAAATGGCTCAAAGAAAAAGAGAACACCTACAAGAAAAGTTTGTATAGAAAATAAATCAGTCGGTTACTTTTGCTTCTGTCTTCAAGTTTGCAAGAAACATGAAACAGATAAACAATCGCCGCTGCCTGTGTGACAGCACTTCATATGTTCCACTGACACGGAGGGAATGTCATAAAGGATTAGGCATAATCATAGAATGGTACGGTCCTAAACTAAAGAGCATCACAGCCATTTGTACATTGTCATAATGTCTTTGAGGTTATTTATATCCCAACATTTCATGAGGGACTGACCATGATTCCATGACGTGCAGTGCCATCACTTTCTGTTGAACCTGCCATAGAGACTCTCAAACGCACTTCAGCGACTGATAAAACCGATAACAAAGTTTAATTTGAAAATGCGATGCTCTGTTATGCAGTATGTTGTGCTGTTGGGTGTAATGATGACGTGTCTGTTAACCAGTATGAGTGCTGCTCTGTTGCGCCGCAAGTTCAACAATGCTGTTTGGTTCTCTGCGTTAAACTACAGTGAGCAGTGTTCTCAGTTTATCATGTAGGTCTTTGCGAAGGTCATTTCACCTGGTAAACAGATCAGATCATGTACAACTTTAAGAATAGTTCAAATCTAACAATAAAGCTGAATTAGTCGATATACTTGTTAAGCTTACAATGAAAATAAATATGTTTGTGTAATGTGAAAGGTGGCACAAACCCACAGAGAATTATCACCAATTAATTGGTTCTAGGCGAATGAATGTTTTAGATACTTTCAGCTTTTGTTTTGGTTTGACAGCCTTTACTGTTCTGACTCTAATCATGTGAACACAGTGGAGCATTTAGCAGAAGATATGAGACCAAAGTGGAGCTAAAAGGAGCTTCACCGCTGGACTTTCATTCTCTGCTGATCAGAAGCATGAGCCCAAATGAACGCTACCGTTGGACCGTGTCTGCTGGGTGTAGTTGGGTAAAAAATTAGCCTCGTCAATTTGATTCAGTGATAGTACGACAGTGTTTTGTTTACAGTTTGTTGTGCTGCCTCCAAATGTCAGAAAAGAAACTTGAATGCTGCTTTTGGTTTTTGTAAAATTTGTTTTGCCAAAAGCTCATTAGAGCGTCTTTTGTTTTCTTAAATTATTTCCCTGGTATACACACATTAGTTACGAATGACACATAGCAGGTCTGCTTGTCTATCTACTGTACATCATTAAAACCAAGAGGTATTACCATTCTAATGTACGCTGTGTTCGCACTGCAGTTTGAGGGTTATGGTGGTGTCAACAAAACACTGAAGTCAAGGCAAATCGAGGAATAGCTACTGAAAGATACATGTATCTGACTACTGCTCAGTTTGATGATGCTATGTGCCCTTTGACAAAGATGATGATTTCTTGTTCACATTCAAATATGACCCATTTCAAGTGTTCTCCCCAACCTTAGCTCACTCAGTTAGGATTCAAATACAGCATTAAACACACACAGTGACAATGTAAACTAAAGCCTTTAAAGAAGATGATAAAACTCATCACAGTTCCTCAAAATGCATTAAAAAGGTTGGTTTAAAGCCATGCTAGCACCATTCATCCTCCTCTGCCTCCTGGTAATACCTGGGTGCCCTGACGCCAGAGCCTGGGCTGGTGTTGCCCCCAAAGCTGAAGTGGTACCCATTGGGCACCCCAAGGTTCTGCTGTGGAGCCGGAGGCAGGGCTCCCATCATGCGAGGCAGTGCGGTCCAAGATGAGCGTCCGGTACGGGGGCTGGGCGAGAATGACGCCACATCCTGGAAGACGTCCAGCTGGTCCCGGAGGCTGCTGTAGGGGCTGCCCAGGGCATCGCCGTAGCCCCGGCCCAGGAAGGGCTCGGAGCTGATACGAGTGACGGGGCAGGGGATGTGTTGGGAGCTGCTGTGCCGTAGGGCGTTGTGTTCCGACAAGCCACGGCTCAGCCGGCTGGGACTCACAGAGGCCTGGCTGGACACAAAGTGCACAGGGGAGGAATTGGCAGTCTTGTAGGCCACCCCTGGCCGCGGGGTGAGGGGGGTCTGGGGGAGCTGCCGACGTCCGCGGCTTGGCGTGCTAGAACTGGAACTCAATGCCACTGGGCTGCCTTTAACCCAACCACTGCCCTAGATGAAAATTGGACAAGCAATTTGAAACGAGCGAACGATGAGCAAAATATGTAAGAGTGGAAAGGTAAAGGGAAGGAAACAGGGACAGGGCCGCCAGAAGGAGGAAAGGAGGAGAAAGGAAAGACACCAAAATATGATGTCACAAAAGATGACAGAAAAAATGAGGGACAGAACAAAGACAGAGAAGACAAGCACAAATGGAAAGGTAATGGCGGACAGACAGGATGGGAAATGATGAAGAGAGAAAGTGGGAAAAGAAGTGAAAGGCCATGAGAGGCTGCACTACAGGCAGACAGATGTTGGAACTGTCATTTGAATCTCCAACATGATGAGTCTAAAATTGTGCTAAAAAAAGTGCTCAAGGATGCATACTCCAGAACCATGTGAGAAAAATATATTCCAACCAGAGGTATGGTTCTATATATGATTATTAAAAACCAATATAAACAAAGTCACAAGCAACCAATTATTGTCTGAGATATACTTGCAAAATTAATATTACTACATTTTCACCACATACTTAAAATTATTATGGCTTTCCAGTTTTTAATATTAAATTATTTTTATTTTCCTATTCATTCAACCACTTTATTTCTGTGACAGTTGGGGATATAGGGTTGGATGATGTTTTATCAAATTGGAATCTGGTTCTGAAGCCACACTGGATCCCATCAAATCCATCTTTCCTATAACAGCTGGTTCAGTTTTTATCAAAAAGTCACTCACAAATGAGGGAATACTTTGTTGAGACCATTTTCTGCTGAGGATGAATGCACATTTGGTTTGCTCATGAGTATTTAGTGACAAGGTTTAACTGTAGCTGATCATTCAATTCTATTCAGCCTAGACTAGTTGTTATATTTATGCAAAATGAATGACATTTGTTTCCATAAGCCAGTAACATTAAAAAACATATTTGTATCAGCAAGACAATAATAGTTTGTCTGGATGTGTATTAATCTCAGCAGTAAAATGAAGAATATTATTACTAGAGGCCTTAATCACAACTGATTGCAAAATATCATAATCCAAATTCCTTTAAATACTCTTTAAAATTGTATCAGCAGCATGAGAGGTTCAGTGTTTTGGAGTTTTCTATCTTTAGAATCACATTCAGGGGGACAGCAGAAATCACAGGTTAAACAAAGTCAGAAAGACCTCAAGCCTCATCTGGCCCTATTCTACAAGCCTGTGCCCTCCCACCTGCTTGTTGCTGGTTTCCTGCCCCTCGCTGGGGGAGGCGGCACAGCTAGCGGTGGCAGATTTGCTGTGGCAGTGTTCCCGGCTGCAGAAGCGGTCGCAGGAGTAGTAGCGCTGCTTGTCCACCGTGGAGTGGTGGTGTTTCCTCTCGTGTGAGCGTCCGCGGTCATGGGTCCGCTCTCTGGAGGCAGCTGGGACAGACGCCGGCTCTTCTGGTGCATCCCGGGGAAGAGGGAAAATATTGCAAATTGAAAGTGTATGTTTCACTGTTGAAGATAATATTAAAGTTCTGACTTTTATATTCTGACGTCAATGCTTTGGTTCACTGGGTTTGAGGACAAAATTGAGTGACAGTGTTGTTAAGGGATATTTCTGTTTTGTAATAAATAGGAATCTGTAGTCATTATTCACACCAGACAAGTCACACTATATGAAAACGGACAACATGACAGCTCCCAGACGTGAAGCCAAAACATCTTGATCGCCCCCTAGTTGCAGGCTGCAGTCCTAAATCGGAGGCGGGATGTTAGTGGATGGGACATGGACAAAACTAGAGTCAAAGTACACATCAGATACATTTTTCTCAACATGTTTTCAGTCATTTAGGTAGTTTTTGTCATAATGACCTATGTTCAAGTGTTCCAAATGTGTTTTATTGAGCGAGTTTAAGCTGTGAAAAGGGGAGAGGTCATGATTGACAGCAGAGACTGAATTGGGATTGGTCAGGCAGGTGTGTGAGTGGGACCTTGTTGCGTTGACTCCGCTCCTTGATCACTACTGCACAGACTCTCCTCCAAATAAAATCACCACGGCAAGACACCAGCAGCACTGTTATACAATATGACATTTTTGCACAGTGGGAGGAAGTGGAGACGTGTCATCCATCATTAGTTACAGTGATTTATCACAATAGGGAAAACAAAGGGTAAACAGCATGAGGACCAGGACCTGAAACTGGCGCAGCTAAATGGAACTCAAATCACTTACACATACACTTTTCCTGTTATCACATGGTAAAACGTCTGGTGTGAAAAAGTATCATCAGCATGCTAACATGCTCACTGTGACAATGGCAACATGGTAATGTTTAGCAGATACAATAATAACCATGTTGCCCATCGGTATAGCACAATACAGGCTAATATATGTTATTAGAGTAGGCTGCTGGTCCACATAGAGACAGCTCCATGTGCAGTTGGTTTATCTCTATTATGATTATTTTTTGGACGCCTCTGCAGTAGTATTCTGATGGACTGTGACAGTTTTCACCACAGCCTCACCCTGCAGAGCGGCTGCTTAGTAATTAGCGGGGGGTTGGCTGTGCATGTCTGTCAGTCTCTTTTATCAAAGTTCTAAAGCGCTGCTGTGTCACACCCGACAAAAAGAGAACACTGCTGATCTCTGTCACAGCTGAGACCCTGTGGGGGGGGGTCACACGTCATGCTTTAACACTGTCACACAAGGAGCTGTGTCTGTCAAGAAGCATTTGTCAGTGATGGCTTTTTCGAGCTCAGTCATTATTATTGATTATTTATTACGTCATAAGATTTGGTTTACTCTTCTGACTCATTCGTGGATTGTTTTTACTGCCTTCATATGCTCATTCATAGCTTCTGCTATAAGATTTTGCTCATTTGCAGAGTTTTAGCAAAACTGGGAATTGCACCAAACTGCTTTGTGCGTGCCAGATGTATATGAAATGATTCATTTAGTGTACATTGAAATGAGTTGGGGGAACATAATATACGTACAGTTATTAGCTCCCTGTCAGAGAGTTACATGACGAGATTAATAGCACTCTCATATCTACTGAACACATTTAAGGTCAGAGCCAGCAGCTGAGCATTAATCCTGCAAACAGGAGGCATAATCTGTCCGGATGTCCAAAGAACTCAAAATCTGGCAACCTGCACCTCTGAAGTTCAAAACATGATACATCTCATTCATTTCATCCCTAGAAGACCACTTTTATAAAAATGACAATGCATCCTTGGCTGGACTATTTCTTGGTGCTTTGCAGTTGCCAGGCAACCTAGAGCGACTCTCTGCCAGAATGCGAGTACGTCCATCGTATTCTTTGAATACATTTTGGATAAAAAAGAATTTATGATATGACCATGGGAATATCAATCCAGAATACAGTGAATCTTAGGTTAACCTTGGCTTGGACTCAAGGTAAGACATGCAGAGGACTATGGTAATCCTTAGTTTAAAAACTACAGGCTGAATTAAGAGATAATTTATTTTAGAGAAATATCTGTTTTGCCCAACACTGTGTACATAGATAAAATATCTACATTTGGACATGTCGACAAAACTTGCCAAGTAAGAGATATGTCCTGTATGAGACAATGTTTCACTCCGGTCAGTTTAATGTTCAACCAATGCAACAAGCACCTTTAACATGATTTACTTATTTTCATTTTGATGAGAGAAAGAAATTAATAAAGTACTATATAGTATACTGTACTATAAAATACTATACTATTGAATATGTCGCACATTTGAACTAAAAACAAAGCATGATATAAAAACACACTGACTGTGTGTGTGAGTGTGTAGGGGGCTGACTCACCAGCAGAGCCTGGAGGTTGTCCACCTACAGGTGTATCCAAAGACCTCTGCCTTTTCTCTCTTTCTCTGTCTTTGTCTCGATCCCGGCGGTGGTGGCAGCGATGGTGGTGGTGATGGTGGTGAGGTCGGTCCTGGCTGGGTTTCTCCAGGGTGTAGTCCCTCAGGTTGACCTCCTGGGGTCGCTGTGGGGCCACAGTGGAGGCTGAGCGTTTCATAGGGCTGGCATCAGGGACAGACTGAGGTGGGGGGGACAAAGAAGACCACTGAGAATCTTGTCATGAGAAGCTCACACAGTGAGCAGCTGGGGGAGCGTTTCCCCTGCAGGTGGTATGTTCAGGTGATTATAGACTGTAGAAGGCAAAAAAACAGAAATTCATTTGAGTTTTTAGACACACTGACTTGTGTTGAATGGCTGGCACCTGCAGCTCTGACTTAACCACAATCTTATTGTCTGGTGAAGGATAAAGGAGCAGGTGTTCCATACAAAGCAGTGGGAGTTCATTGATAAAAGCTGAGCTCCCTTTATTTACAGTCATTTGTTAGAAACCTTAAAGGTACAGTGTGCAGAATTTAGTGATATCTAGTGTTGAAGTTGCATGTTGCAGCTGAACACCCCTCACCTCACCCTCTCCTTCCAAACATGAAAAAGAACCTGGGGTAGCTTCAGTTGTCATAAAAACTCAAAAGGTGTTTAGTTTGTCCAGTCTGGACTAATGTAAAAAACATGGCGGCCTCCATATAGAGGGTCCCCTCGATGTAAATATGAACTATTTAAATATAAAGGGCTTTTTCTGGGGTAAAGAAAACTACAAGTCACACAATTTAGATAAATGAACTAGTGAAAAAATCATGAGGATTATTCTACAATAAATATCTGCCAATAGTTCCCCTTCACCTAAATCTTACACACTGGACCTTTAACTCATTAATGTCTGATGAAATGACTCACAAGGTATACGTATTTGGTAAATGTATTTAACATAGTAGAAAGGTATTTTTTAAAAATCTGATTCTATGGATTAATTGCTCTAGGATAACAAACTGTGAAGAAAATGATTAATGGTGCATTAAAAAAATTCAAGCAATACTTTCTCCACATATTTGACCTGGACCAGGGCAGTGGCTCCAAGATGACCTAGGTAGCATTTCGTAGGTTTTTTTATTTCAATAATTACAAATAAACAAAAACATTTTCTCTACCAGGACTATAAACCTGGTCAAAAACTAAATGGGGCTCTGCTGGGGCAATTTTGACTCATGTATAACATTGTTATTATATTGTAGTATATAAAAAATCCAGCTCTTTCTGGAGCCACTGTGTTTTTCTATTGTTTGTCTTTATACACACAAAATTAAGTGTGTGACAGATGACAGGAGTCACTTGTATAGACCATATTTACAAATCACAATTTGTCTCTGATACGACCACTGGGGGTGTCAGAGCTGAAAGTTATCAAATGTTCCAGAGAGAAGCTTTAAATCAGGCTCATCACACAGAATAAAACACATCTGGTTGTATGGTGATGTTAACCCATGTGAATCCATGTGATCATCTGACCTCATTGAGGTTTGATAATAACCCTGCTGAGCCTGAAATATGCACAACGACCAATCACAAGCAATCATATACTGTATGTCGTGAGACAGCGTGTACATACGGCGAGATGGATCCCTGGAGTGTGGTGGGAGGGGCCCCACTAAAAGAAAGAACATCAGAGAAAAGAGATGAGGAACATTATGCAGTATTAGCAGCAGCTGTTGAATAAAAGTGATTCAATATTTCAATGTCATGTAATTAAAGCATCCTGTGTGTAACTAAAGCCCTTTAATTTATAGAAAAAATATATAATCCTATTGAAAATTGATGCTCTACAGGTATAATGGGACAGGGGGTAATTGACAATCCTTACTGTCTTCCACAACATCTGATTTTATACCATTAGACATTTTCAAATTTTATTCTAAGTAGAAGTTTGATCATTTCTCCAGTTGTGGTCCTGTATTTGAACTTAAGTAAAACAAGAATAGCAGCACAATGTACTACTACAGCATCAATAGTAAATGTACAGTGAATGTATAGTGGTTAATAGCCAGATATACTGCCTATTTCTGAGTGTTACAAGCGAGCAGAGTATTCATGTTGACGTAGATGTGTGTTATCTAAGCTAAAAAAATGCTTCATATTTTCATATACAGGTGATATCTACAAAGTCATGGAACCTCAAGAAGGAATCCCGTAACCACCAACACACCTCACTTTGGTATCTAACCACCAAGCACCAAGACTCCATCAGATCATTCTACCTCAGTGGTTAGATTTGTTGTGGCCGCTTCTCACTTTCTACAACTCTGAACTTTTTTGCCTGCCTCGCTTCTCTCTCCTGTCTGTCTTTGCTCATGATCAGGATCCAGCAGCCGCCCAAACATTAATACCATACTCAGCCTGCCCTGCTATACCCAGCTCTCAGTTAGGACTGTTTGGTTCTCGGCCTGCTGTTTGGCCTTTGGAAAATTAACCCCTTATCTGGATTGCCCCTGACCATCAACCTCCATGTTCAGAATTACATTTTGGCATCAAGCCAGTGTCTAGGCTCATCCTTAGAGATAGGGTGAGGAGTTTGGACGTCCTCTACGGAGTAGAGCTGCTAATGCCAGTAGAGCTGGTTTGGGCATCTTATGGGGATGCCACCTGAGTGCGTTAGAGGTTTTATAAGCACAGCCAGCAGGAAGCACACATGGGGTAGACCAAGAACTAGCTGGAAAGATTATATATCTCATCTGGCCTGGGTACATCTCACAATCCCCCAGGAGGGTTACAACAAAGCATTGCTGGGGAGAAGGGTGTCGGCAACACCTGACCTCAGATAAGTGGAAGAAAATGGAATGAAAAGATAAAAACTTGTTTGACTCCACTTCCTGATTTCCCCCACCTTACCTGAAACGTCACAGCCAGTATGAAAATAAGCACTGCAGAATGCAATGGAAACATGTTTCAGTGTACCCAGTGCTCACACCCCCAGCCTCTTTTCATCCTGGACTCTTCCTCTGTGACTCTCTCAGAACATACCAGCATCAATGCCTTCTGTCTTTGCCTGCCAAACCTGTCCTTTGCAGAGAGGCCAAAAGGTGCATACCTTACAAATTAAAATGGGACTTCTGTTCATGCAGTATTAAAAGGTGATGAAACTGCAAACAGGATCTAATGTCCAATATCACCTGGGTTAACATAACTGAGCGTGAGCTTTTCTTTCTCTGTGAAGTCAGGCTCCCTGACAGACTCTGGGGTTTTCTCAGAACAGGTCTGAAAGATGTCATCTCCTGATTGTGGCTAAGCCTCCCTCAAATGAAGGTTTCAAGTTCAAGTTTCTGAAGGCAACCATCCATTCAAGCGGCTAAAGGATTTCCTGCCCTCAGCTCCAAAAGGTGAGAAAAATAAGAGAGCGAGTCAACAAGGCAGCCTGCCACCCCTGTTCTTTCATTATTCCTGCAGATTCTCTCACTGCTACTGTAACACAGTTACCGTCTTCCTCTCCGATGAATCTTAGGCCCGGAGCCATTTGGAGCCACGGCCATCTTTTCAGTTGGCAGAAGAAAAACAATACCGCACAAATAGCTGGAGGCCTGCCAGGATCTAATCAGATTACTGTAGACTTCTCCTCTGCAGTGAAAGTAGGATCAACAGCAGCTCTTCCAAATGGGCTGTGAAAGGAATGCACTTTAAATGCACAAATCAATCAACATCAACATCACTCAGGAAATGAGGGCCCTTATTATATTTCTTAGGATCCAGTGAAAGATTCATTTAGAGTTTTTCAGCCTTAACCGGATGAAACGTGAGGCCAAGCTCCTACATGCTTTGTCAGTAGAAATGGTTCAATCACTACACCATTACAAAGAAGCATTACTGGGGGTTATTTTCAGTAATGTGGGCACAGAAAACTTTTCTTCCTCCAAGTTTCACACACAACAAAGATGTCCTGGTATTCTGAAGATGCATTTTCCCAGACTAAAACAGCACAAGAGAGATCAAAAAGTACAATTTCAGAACAAAGACTATGAGGAAATAAATTCTAAGTTCTGTCAAAAAATAAACCTATAAAATAAAATAAAAAATTTAGCTGACTGAGCAAATGAACTAATAACTTTTTAAATGCAGTCTTATTCAGAAACCTGCATGTATCTGTGGAATCATATATTTTATAATGACTTCAGAGAGAGTGTTGTAGATTTAACTTTAAATAGATAAAAAACTAATGTGTTACAAATTAAAAAGTCAACTGATTATTTAATGATGAAGTATTCAGAGTATTCATTTATAAATGTATAGAATCTCGTTTTTCAGCAGTTACAGCTTCGTCTTTGTTTTCGCAATCTGTATTTGTGACATTTATCTCAGTCTCCCTAACAGATTCTCTGACACAAACTCCATCAGACTGGATGAGATGTGTCTGTGAGCTGCATCTTTCTCTGCACAGATGTTCTTTGGGGGTTTAAGTCTGATCTTTGTCTGGCACACTCATGGACAGTCAGAGGCTTCTACCGAACACACTCCAGTGTTGTATTGGCTGTTTTGTTTTCTCCTGAGTCTCTGGTCACGTTCACTCTGTGGAACATTTTCAAGGTCCTCTCCTTATTTGGCTGCATTCATCCTTCTTCATCCTGTTTCGCTATAATGGCAATAAAGAGGTCTACTGAGAATTTGTCCTGGCATTAAAGTGTGAATTGTGAGACCCTATATACATGAGTGTGTGTCTTTGTAAACTCTCCTGAAATATCCAGTCAGTCCCCAGGTGGATAGATAAAGCAAACAGGATGCTCCTGACCTCAGTTTGAAGCCACAGCAAAGGTTGTGAATAGTTTTAGGAAATAATATCAATTTTTTTCAGTTCACAGACACGTCCCATCCAATCTGAATAAGCTTGAGAGGATCTGTCAGGAAGAATGAAATAACCTGCGCAAATCCAGATGTGTAAATAAGACTGGAAGCTGTAATTCTACAAAATAGTGAACCAAGGCCCAAAATACTTTTGTAAAGTTTTTGACTGATAATATATTTGCGAAGACTTTTTTTAAAGCATTTTTAATTGTGTCATTATAGACTATTGTCTAGATGGATGCAAATAACATTTAGATCCAATGTAAATGTAATCTCTGAAAGTAATAAGGGTGCAAAAAGTGAATGGTTCTGAAGAGGCTCCTGATTCGTTAAACAGCATCGTCTCCTCCCCATTTAATCTCATTGATTCAATTACTTGACCTTTGCAGACTTCGCACTTCAACGAAGGAGGCGTTACAGCTGCTAGTTCACTCGTCGCAAGTTAAACACAGACAATGATCAGTTTTTCAGTGAAGAAGTGGGTTAATTCAGTTTCTGTGTAAATGTAAGCATGAACAGGAGTGACTGAGCGACTCTGGTCAGACCGGTTTGGAAACGATAGGTGGATTGAGGAGAGTCGGTATATTGTACAGCATCAGAGCAGAACGACTTGGACACCATGTGTGAACCATTACTTTCTAGTGTGAAAAGGTACTGCAGCAAAATGCATGACATGAACAAGACTAAAATTCCACCAATGAAATCTGGACAATTAGATCTTCAGTTTGAGTTTTTGACCTGAGACTAATGTAAAAAAAGTCCTGACTAACGCTAACAGTGACGTCTAATCCAGGTTGGGAACATGAACATGAGTTCAGATGAGGTGTTACCTGCAGCTCAACACTGAGTCGAGGCATAGAGGCAGCTCTGCCCTGGTTCTCCAGACCTGTGCCAGGGACTGGGATGGTACTGCTGACACTGGTCTCCATCTTCCTCATCTCCACTGACTCCTACACACACACACACACACACANACACACACACACACACACACACACACACACACACACACACACACACACACAAACCCATTAGCATCATTGCTGTGTGTGTGGGGGTGGAGTGGACTAATTCATTTTCCTCTTTACCTCTCCTTCAGCAACATGATTCTTTAGCAGCTGTTAAACAACTTCAACCCTATGATTGATGAGACTTAGGCATGCATGGACTGCCTCTTACACAAACAGAGAGAAATGTCATAATGGTGATCACACTAATTGGGCACACTGCAATAATACATGCAGTAGGAAGTTTGGACGTAATATAACACCAGTAAACAATGAGCTCATGGCAACATCTCTGCAGTTAACATGTAGCCCCTGTTCAGACAACAGCATTAAGATCCTCTCACTCTGTAGACCACAGCCTAAGACCACCGCAGTCTGTGTGAACGGATCTCAAATGTGTCGTCAGTGCGTCTTGAGTGCTTTCACGTGTGTAAATACAGTGGCACACGCACACACCATGTGTTGAACGGTACCTGAATGATGGCAGTGTCTGGTGAGTCCTCTGATGGGCCCCTGGACATGCTTCTTTTGCTCTTAGCTCGGGGCCCCTCCTTGGGTTTCTCCATCACCCAGGAAGATGATTCCTTGATGTTGTGATCGTGACCAGGCCTGTGTGTTACAGCAGTCACAGCTGTGCATCATAATAATAATAACAACAACAACAACAACAACAACAACAACACCAACAACAATAATAATATTAATAATAATAATAGATTGCACTATATAGCAAAACGTTAAGTAAAGGTATAAAGGTATAATATAATATAATATAAGGTATAAACAGCTGACAAACCCCTGCAGCAAACCTCATCCTTAGAGAGGGTCTCCATACACATAAAGGATCAGGATGACAAACTGACCTTCACACTGCTCAGATTGGAATTAAGCTTTTTGATTATACAACGATACAAGATAAACATGTTTTGATGAGTCATGAGTTATCATCCAGTGTGTAATATACCCTACAGTCATCATTTTGTATGGTGGCCCCTGAGGACAAAACCCACAGAGGAGAAAGCACAAATATTATTGAGGGAAAACTCCACATCCAGAAATACAACAAATACAACTAGAATAACAACAACACAGCATTTGCATGCTTCTGCCAACCACTGCAATTTCACTCTACATACCTTTTTCCCCAGACTCTTATGAGGTATCCATGACCTTTGACCATCAAAATCTTTCCAGTTCATTCTTGAGTCCAAGTGAATGTTATTATTAAATTTAAAGACATCCCTTCAAGTTGATCTTAAGATATCCAGATAAACATAATTTGTGAGGCCACAGTTGCCTTGACCTTTGACCTTTGGCTACCAAAATTAAATCAATAAATCCTTGAGTCCAAGTGAATGTTTGTGCCAAATGGAAAGGATTCCCTCAAGGCATCACAGATACATCTCTTTATCGACAGTCAGTGGCGAGATAGAGCTGAGGGAGCCTTTAGAATGAAACATCTTCAAGAACGTCTGGCAAGTGCAGTTTCCTTCGTATAGCAAATCAGGATCAGTAGCCACTCTACTTTTACTTAGTTACCCACATTAAACCTCACCTTTATTCAGTGTTGGTATGTTTTCAGAAGTAAAACAAACCATTTAGATTGAGTTAATTTATTTTATTATTTATAATAATGTCTGTTTGGAAATTCACTCTTTTTCTAAATCACTCGCTCTGTTGTACTTTGAGGAATTCTCTTCGGTCTCAGGGTTGTCATATATGGTTTGTGGCTTTCAGTTTGTCTGAAGGTAAAGCTGAATGCATAATGAATATATGCTTTATTGGACAGTTTAACAACACCTCTGTGGACGAGAGAGTAGTCTGTGTATTGATAAATCTCAATAAAAATGAACAACTATAAAGAAAAAGGTGTAGAGGCAGTACAGTACATTAATAAACATTACAGACTGGTGTGCTGTAGCGTATTTCTCTTAATGTTTGCGCTTTCTCTCTTGTATGTGCTTTGTCCTTGAGGGCCACTATAGCTTTGTGTTAAAGAGCAACGATGAGGGTGAGGAGGGTTTATGTACATCACGGAAAACTGTTTGGTGTTACTGGAGAGAATTACTGAGCCTTCATTCATCACACACTGTCTTTACTGAAAGAATGCTGGAAACAACAGCACACCAAGCTGTGCGGCTGTGCACAGCTGGGATATCAGTGTAGCAGCCCTGACATGTAACAGGTATGAGGAGGCGCACATTAGCCGCCCTCTATGTGGCTGAGAAGCTGAAACCCAGCTCAGAAGAGAAGCATGAATCAGCCTCTGCGACCTGATCATTACAAAAAACAAATCAGTATCAGAATTAGATTACTGCCGCTTTTGCACATGTAGTAGAATTGTATTTCTCAAAAAGACGCCACAGACTGGAGACAGAGCTAATTGTGCCGGTTATGTTTGACCTCTGTCAGTTGTTTTGTACGTTTGTTTGTAAGCTAGATTAAAACTACCGGTCAGATCATCACAAAACCTGGTGATAGATTTTGGTATGGCTCAGGGAAGAACCCAATGTATTTAGGTACAGATCCAGGGATTCCGAACATTGCAAGATAAGGAATTTTCCAACATTTTATAGTTATATTGAGGACACTGATTTCTACAAGTGTGTAAAATTTGGCGCAGCTTGATTGAATTTAAGGGGGCCAGGGGGCATGCAACCTACTGAGTGCTTTTTGTTCGTAAGCAAGAACGGTGGTATGGGACAAGGGAGAAACCCATTAAATTTTTGATGCAGATCTAAATCAGGAGGTGAAACGAGGAACTTTTCGTGAGACATTGTGCCATAAATTTTCCCTCTTTTCCTTGAAAATAATTCATAGATCTTAAAGAAACAATTCGGGCACATTCAGGGGACTGCTATCTTTGAGTGTGTACAACTTGTTGCAGCTTGGTTGAGGTTAATGGGACAATTTGCCTTGGCAGAGGCAAACATTCTACTGAATGACATTCTAGTTTGTTTTCTGAGATGGTTGATTTCATAGAAATACCATTGCTTGAGTTTGGTTTTGTGCTCTCCTTCACAAAGTCTGTTAAGGTCAGTCCCTGAACCGGCCCAGCGCTATCTGCCATCTTAGTAAATCTCTCACAATACACACAGCCCACGACTCAGAAGCAAATCTGGCCCCCAGTCTGAATTTTCACAAGGAAAGGTTGGGTAAGTAAAGTCACTTTCAGCTTTGATGTTGTAATCTCCACCTCAAACTATTAAACCCTGTGGACCCAACTTAAGTCTTGATGTGGGAAATATCTTCCTGGAGCATTGAACTTACAGTGTGCCTCCATTGTTGAGGGAGTTGGAGCTAGGTCTGGTCTGTGGCTGAGACTTGGCATGGGATTTGTGCTGGGGCTGAAGTATGCTGGGAGGCTCCACACTGTTTGACATCATAGGCAGGTCTTTCTCCTGCATGTGAGTCACAGGCAGCAATGGCTTAAACAGAGCCCCGACCTCGCACTGTGGAGGAGAGATGGATGGCAACATGCTGAAGACATTCAGAGGCAGCAGGCAGAATATTGCTGGGCCCAGATCTGACGGCGGGGGGACTCAGTGCCACACAGATGTGGAGACCGGGGCCACAATATTCCTTTTTTTGCAGTCATGCTTGTATGTGAGGGTTCTGTGTGCATACGTGTGATGATTTGTGTATGCAGTGACAAACAGCTGTGCAGTAGATGTGCAAGGTTGCAAATAACTGCCAACCAGCAGCCAAATACATATCCATCTATGGATGTGACGTGTAAGTGTGCCTTTTAATATAAACAGTTTTCATAGGTAACCTATCACTGAGGGCTTTTACACTGAAAACGTTCAATAGTGAAAGCGGATGATCAGTTTTGTAATCCATCACTGAATGGTAAATGGATACAAAAGCATCTTCTTTGCATGCAATCGCACAATCAAAGTGTGTACCTGTGTTTGCAAACACAATGTACTTTGGCGCATGCGTACGACTGCATCCAATGTGGGTGTGCTTCAGTGCATGTCAGTGTGCGCGTGCCTATGCGTGTGTGCAGTCTGCGGGTATGTGCGGTGTGGACGTTGTACCTGGGAGCCCGATGGGTTCTGTTGCTGCTGCAGCTGCCGCTTCCTCGCTATGTTCTGTTTGTAGTAGTCGAAGATCATCAGGGCGGCATAAACCTTCCCTACCGTCAGTTCATTGGCTGAGGAGGTGAGGAGAGAAGAAATGATGTGAGAAAGGTGGAGAGGACCGAGAGAGGGAATTCTGCTGACTCACTCGTCCACCCTCCATTCATCTCTATTTGTCTCCCTAATGGTTTAGTTTTAAGGGAGGAGACGTCTTAATGTGAGTGATTGGTGTGATTCACAGCACGTAATTAAAATGGATTCCTAAGGTAAACAAAACAAGCATCATGACAGAACGAAATGCCTGGAAATGTCTCTGGGTAATAATTGGAAGTGGTGAACACTTCTCACCAAAAGGTGGCAGCAAAAGCAAAGCTCAATGCTGCACAGTCTGCATTGTCCTTTGCATGGGCTTTTATGGATGGACACTTAACACAGGTACTCACACAATAACATACTGAATATGTGCTCTGAGTATCTATCTATCAGACTGCATGAAATACAAATCCTTCAGGACTCCAATATTTTAAAACCTAAAATGCTCTTAACTTGCAGAGAACAACATGTTCTGACATATTTTAGTTATGTTAGTAGAGTAGTTTTTGTGGATGTCACACAGTTTCTGTTATAATAAATAGATAGATAGATTATGTTCAACCACTTTTCATGTATTTCCATTGCCTGAATTATCACCATGGTCTTAAACACGCATTATTTATCTGATGCTCCTCATCTAAAAGCAGTAGAATTCATTTCCTGCTCCCAGTGAAGTTTTCTTTTTCTTTCCATTTTTTATCCAGTCTGCTCAGGTATTGTAGCATATTAATATCTGCTGTGAATGGTGGATCATGATATTAGTGGATCGTAGATAGTGAGTGAGATGGTGGATGATGGATCATAGTCATGGATGGTGACCGCGGTGGCAGTTCATCCTGGATTATAAACACAACTAGATTGTTCCTTTCATCTCTATCAGACATTTTCTTATTCCAAATCCTTTCACCTCTTCATTTGTCATTTCTCTTCAGTGTTGTAAATATTGTTATTTTGTTGAAGTGCTCTGTTACACTTCTGTTCATCTTGGGAGAGGGATTCTCACACGTGACTCCCTCTGAGGTGTCTATGGGTTTTTTTTCCTATTAACAGAATTTTTTTGGGTTGTTTTCCTTCAGTCTTGATGAGAGGGTTGCACCTCATCAAGCCCTATGAGACAAACTGTTATTTGTGAATATGGGCTTTACAAATACATTTGATTAATTGATTGTTTTGTATCTCAAGCTGTGTAAAGTTTGATAAATGTCCCTTAGGTGATGTCACTTGAGTCAGTGCCAATTAGGTCTGAAGACTACAAGTTTGAGCAGTTAAACAAATCTGGGTGGAGAGTGTTAGAAACAGGTGAGCTGAGCAGCGTCATCTCAACAATTTGCTGCTGCATGCATGACACACCTGACTCTGCCACAGTCAGCAGTCAGGTTGTCATAAAGTGGGTAGACTTTGTGGAATAGAAAACTTATGAATACATGCATACAACCACTGACAGTCCATTTGATGTGAGGAATATTGCATCACAGATATACATTTGTGAAAGGACTTGGGACTTGGCAGGCTGCGTTTGGTTTCATATATATTAAAAGTGGAGCCCAGGAGAGCTGAGTTGCAAGTGAAACGGTTCAAAAGACCCTGTATATGACTTCATCACTTCTTAATTGAAAGAAAAACTGACAAAAGTTGAGAAAACAAGAGGAAACATTTTATGTTAGCATATTTCAAACACTCGTGCTGCATCTGAAATCCCTCCCTCATTCACCACTCTCTATGTAAGAGAACTTTGTAATAGCTAAGTGAATAGTGAGGAGCAAACTGACACTTCAGCCACTTGATAATCACCATCCCTTTGTACGACGATGATAAGGTTTTAATTAACTTCACAAAATCACAAAGAATTGAATTCCTTGTGTTAACTGCTGTACTGGAGTCATTCTATATATTTTTTCAGAGTCAAAGAAAAAGTGAATGAGAGACTTTACTGGGACAGAGGCTGGCCTGAACGTGACTTTGACTTTCTTCTATATTGTGTCCTTGTTTGGCTTTAGCCCTAAACTGCAGTGGTTGTCTTTGTCGTTTCATATGTGAAAAAAATATAAAAAAATACATATGCAAAATATTAATGTCATAGGGAAGTTACACCTTGTGTGACACTAAAGCAGCCACGGTGCCTCATTACATACTGTCCCCATGGTAATAAACCTGGGACATCCAATCTACATGTATTTACTTAATGATGTACTGTCCTCAGAAAAAGATTGGGCTTGGTGTGAAAATGTACAGCTGAACATTCACATTTAGATGAATTCTTTTTAGTAGTGAGTTAGTACAAAGCTTACGTTTATGTGGCGTCACCAGCAGGTTCATGGTCTTTTTTGAGAGGTTGGGCCACACTGTGGACAACTCCTTCTTCAGCTCAGCGTCAGACAAGCGCTGAGCTACCATACCTAGACATCCAGAGATGGCGAGACAGACTTTCAACCTCCTTTATCAGTAAAACACACAGATCTTGAGCGATCCAATCACAAGTGGAGAACTTTATGTACTTAATCATCTGACGTAACTTTCCAAAGACCAATTGATGTGCTGGGTTTGTTCTCACTTCCTGTACTTAGTGCTTTCCACTTGTGACTGGTTCACCTGACATGGTTCACCTGACATTGGCTCCAAGCTAAATTTCTGATTTGCCTTTGGATTAGTCTATTTATCTTTAGTCTACTTATTATTTGTGTTTCTCTGACCTGAGGCCAGTTTGATGTTCAGGGCGGTGCGAATCAGGGCCATCAGGGTGGAGGTGAAGTGGACGCTGTTGTCATCGGCAATGGGCATGTTCATCTTGACGAGACGCTGAGAAGAGGAGGTGAGTGGTGACAGATTTGTCATTAGATCACAGAGTGATAACAAACAGCCCAAAGAGAGAATACAATCCACCCAGAGAAATCAATCTGTGTGCTGCTGTGATGCAATACCCTCCACAGACCCATGTTAGCTTAGAGGTCTCCTTTGATACATTTTGTTGAATGCTTGTAGTTTGGCCGCATTGTTGAATTGTTACTGTTCAGCGCACAAAAAGCTTTCTCTACAAGTACGTACAGAGGAGACAAGCTACACATTCACATTCACTGCTACTGGCTACAGTATGCACTAAATGCTGCAAGTCAAAGTGCACTGGTGCAAGACTGACATTGACCGAAAAAAAGGTGAGAGAAGGCATGTAACGCATAACCATGAAGGTGCCTCGGCAGTCCCAGGAGCTCGACTCTGTGGTTGCGTACCTAACAATCGTCAACTGAGAGTTGACGAGGTTGCGTTTGCTCTACATGTATGTGGCAGCTAGCAATAAAAAAGTGTCCATTCCACCAAGCTTGGGCAGCCTTAGCAGGAAGACTTGGTTCATTCATATAGGACTAATGGCACCACTAGATGCACTCTGAATGATGTGGGATTGCTGCTGAAAGAGTTGAGCTCCCCTGAACACAAAAAGCATTCATATACAAGTGCTCTCAGTGGCAGTGCAGAGAGTAAGAAAGACCAGCGTCAGAATGAGACGGAGATGGAGAGCTGAGAGGCAAACAAACACACCTACACATGTGTAAAACCATGGTCATTTACATATGGTCGCACTGTCACCCACACGTAGATACAAACACCACCACAGGCTGCACGCCCAATTAGAGAGACATCAATATCAGCAGCTAGAAATTTCAAGACGAGTAGCTGTCTAGTAATTCAGAATGAACGATAATATATATTTTGCTTAAAGAAAATCTTGAAATCTGCAAACATTTTTAAAGCCTAATTGAAATTGTGGATCTGCAACATTGTGTCTACAGGGAATTAATGCAAATCCAACCTGGTATCAACATGCAACCTGCATCTGGATACTATACTGATAATGACATCTGATCATGGGCCTTTGCTTTTCCAGCAACTACAAGGATTGTGCTTGTGAGTAGATCTCAACATGGGTTATTATTGTTAGGTATGTCAGTCAGAGTTGCTCAAGTTTTCAGTGAACAATGTGGATGGTCAAGGGTCACATGACCCATGGAGACAGCTGACGGCATTCAGCCTCCATCAACCACAGGCCCTGAAGGACTGACTTCTGTACACACTCGAGACAACAGGGAATTTACTAAGATGATAAACATATTTTTTTTAACTAAATAAACAAACTAATCTTTGTAATATCCGAATTTGAACTCAAAACAGAGGAAGGCAAAAGAAGGCCTGTATTATGCATGAGGGTACGTGCAGAATACTTGCATGGAATGCAGGGCTTCACAAAGGTACATGTACTCTTGCTATAGGCTACGCTAATGTTACTTGAAAAGTAAGGAACTAATAAGCTGATCTGATCTGATCAAAATGTGACCATCACTACATTTTGATGAAATATGATGATACTGATAAGATTCTGATAAGACATCCAGATACCAATTACATATCAATATCAGGTAGACATTTCTTATTTATCTCAATCAGTATTCAGCAAACAATACATCAAATCAAAATCTCCATGACATATTTTGTCAGTGCTGTGCAGCAATAACATTTTAACACACAGACAGACACACA